AGCCTCAACAAATACCCTAAAAGAATCAGTAACTTTGAATAGCATGGAGACCATATGAACAAAACACGAAATTTTTTTTTTCGGTTAATACAAATATACACTGTTCGAAGAAAGGTTGGGATGAGGAATGAAGAAGAAAATTCTCTAGATGCTTCAAACATATCAAAAAAACAGTGAATCTATATTTTTACCAACGCTACTTGCATATTTAGAACATATTTAGGTTTTAGCCACTAAACACTTCCAAACAGATGGATCAAGTGAAATTTCTTGCCAAAATCTTAGATCTCTCGGCGAAATGGGGGAAAGGAGGGAGGAGCCAAGCGAGGAAAGAGTTTTGTTACCTGCGGAGCGACGGAGGCGAGATCGACGCCAAATGTTTGAAGGAAGGTCGGCTGTAGGAGGGTAGCAGCGTAAAAAATGGAGCCCCGCATGTAATATAATATAAAAAAGTTATTTCCAAAAATCTCTGTAAAACGCGATATCCAAACACTAGGGCGGCGTTTTTAAAAATACCGCCGCACATTTAAGCTGCCCCAAACGGGCCCTAAACGTATATTATAGTTAGGAATATCATATCATTATAGCACTGGGCTCATAAAAACAATGTCAGAGCTAAGGTGGAGCTATACTTTTTCATTCAAATCAACTTCACTCAATAATACATTTTGATACCTTCGGAAAAAAAATGAATGATTTTTGGTAAAAAGAAAAAAATCACATTTATTCTTTGTATTATCGTATCTCTTCATCAGGAGGCTACAGGCGGTTTCCTCGTCTTCACTGCGGCAGCTTGGCGAAGCAGGCGGCGAGAAGGTGCCCTCTTCTTTCCCACAGTTGCAATATTCAGTGAATCTGAAAAGAAAAGCAAGCTTTTGAAGCATCAACATGAACGGAGCTTGCCCTTTGTTTTCTGCGATTTACCCAACAAAGACCCCTCCTTTCATTCTTCATCGACCAGCAAAACCCTACTCCATCCACTCCTTCACTGGGGTCAAGTTGCCACAGGCTGGAGCATTTCCTTTGGCGATGCCCTGGAGAGTTGGAAGCCTAAATGAAGTCATGGAGGTGGAAATTGAAACCGAGAATGCCGTGAATGTGGGGGAAGTTGATGGATTACCAGATTTGGAGAGGAAATTGGATGGGGAGGTACTGGAAGGGAGGATGGAGGCTTTAGAATCTAATGGAGAGTATTTTGGTAAGAAAAAGAAGAAAGGTGGTGATTCGGAGGCCAACAACTACGATAGATTCAAGATGAATAACGGCAGAGAGGTGGGAAATTCGTACTTTTTTTCTCGAATTTAATCTGTTTTTTCTTCTAAAGTAGTCAGAGGGCGTGTGATCACTATTATCATAGAATTGTACAATGGAGAATCCGACGTACCCTGACGAACTTTGTGAACAAAACTAGTCCATGAAATGATTTCTTTCCTTTGTCTCTTCGGGTTTTGCTAGATGGGAGTGTATCTTCTTTCCCTAATGGTAGCGTTGCAATTTCATTTTGGGATGGGATATGTGTGAATTAAGTTAGAGATGATTCCCTCTTGTTGAAAAGATTTTAGATGATTGCCAGTCAAATTCGGAGGAGATCAACTCTGAGTGGCAGATTAGGTAAGCAGAACGTCAAGAATCTCCTTTAACCTTGGCAGGAAATAAGAAAGTAAAGCAAACTTGGGCATAATCCTTTGAACCAGGTGCTTAGGTGCATTCAACAATCTCGGTGCAATGCCTTATTGATGCCAGTTGTTTTTTCATAGATTGATTTTTCTCCTCTTTTTTGTGATCATAACATTAAACCTAATCAAAACTTGCTTTCTTCGGTATCCAATTAGATTGCTTTATAAATTTTGTATGCTATTTTACATGAAACATATAGAAAAGAATTTAGTAAATCCTTGAGGAGTTTTATTTTTTGTAGCAGAAGTTGTGTATTAGCAATGTTCTCTCAAATAAATGTTTTAGACCTCATGCTGTACCAAACATGTTGTTATTTCTTTCAGGTGTTTGAGGAAAAAGCATACTTAGTTGGTGTTGAATCTAAAGGTACTGAAGCTGATAACTTTGGGATTAATGAATCACTTAAGGAGCTTGCAAAATTAGCAGATACTGCTGGTCTTTTGGTTGTGGGTACGACACATCAAAAGTAAGATGGTACTCTTTTTTTTTTCTAACTAGTTAATTGACTTTATCATTTTTCTTTTTTAGGTTTACAATTTACATCCCTGTGATTATTTATCTGTTCTTTATTCACCATCTTATCCCTTTCCCTTTAAAAAGTAGGTCTTTTTAGTTAATGATGGATGCTCTTCAATTTCAATTGCTTTCATAGGATAACTAATGAGGACTATCTATATCTATTCCCATTATAAAATATTTGCAAAATTGATGATCCTATGCCAATTATTATCTATTTATTAAAATATGTTTTAATTTTTATGGTCCAATAAATTTCCATATTAGTAACTTTAGAACCCTTCTTTGGATATCCGATTAAAATACCACTTTAGATATATCTTTGGTGCACTATTTAGTTTAATCATTCTTAAAGAAAATTATAATTAAAACTATGTAATCTATTAATATAGGAATTTGCAAATTCAAATTTATTTGCTTTGTGGCATTACATTAGGATAAGTTTGATTTGTGTATTAATGAAAAATTTTACTTAATTAATTGTTGATTTATTCGATTGGCTGAAGTTAGAAAACATGTTTTGTGAAATTGTGAATTATTAGATTATATCATTTGATTGAATATAATTAGAAATTATTATTGATTTTTTAAAATACATCGTAAATCCTTTATTTATGATGATTTAATTTGTATGAATGATTTGATTGGAAATGAAAATATCATGCTTTTTATTTGCAAGCAATCGGATGAGCTCTTAGAATGATATGCCATCAACGAATATAGGCAAACTTATTTGGTTAGGGCCAATTGGTTGCTAGAAGTTTTTTGAAAAATGGTTTAAATGATCTGGTTGCTGACCTTACCATGCAATGACACAACTCAGCTGTTGTTGCATATTGGATAGTAACAAGCTTCCATGCTTTAACTTTTAGTTATTGGATAATGACAAATACTGTTGGATAGCAATTAGCATCCAAGCCTCATTGAGAGTAGAGATAATGTCAAGTGAAATTTATGCAAATTTGGCGCAACTTGAGCTAAACATTTTGATTCCAAGTTTCCAACTCAACTCAAGCTCTTTTAAAAATTTATTTTATGCAAAATAACTTGATTTCAAGTTAGCTAAATATTGATTTTGAGTTGAATTAAAATCAATACATAATTAATTATGTAAATAATGTAATATAAGTTATACATATTTTGTATCATACACAATATGCAATATTGAAAGTCTTATTTCTGGTTAAATATCCAATCAAGTCTGTTCAAGGCTACATCTCAAAATTGAATTGAGTTGATTTTCAGTTTATTCAAAATTTGACCAAACTTTGAATGATTTTGAGTTTCAATTTTTTTTAATCTTTATTATGAGTTGTTAGATAACGACAATCATCAATATTACTCTATGAGATAGTAGATATTCGGTGCACTTAACTCTAACTAAGAGCTACACAATTTTGTGTTGTGGTGGGTGTCTATGGCTTAATGAATAGCGGCAACTTCCCAAATTTGATCGCGAGCTACCAAATAAAGGCAAATTTTATAGCATTAGTTGGGATTTATTGGCTTCAACATATAACATACAACTCCAAACGTGATTTTCCCATGGAGCAAGTCTTCTAGTTAGATAATTTTTTCGGCCTTCACACCTTATAATATTTATTGTTCAAGGGGCAAGCATAAAAAACACGCTGAGGAGAAGAAATATTTCAGAGACATTCTTTGATAATGTTGAATGGAGCCGATAAACGGTGCTCTACTAGTTGCGCCAAAGACTGGATATATGACTGATGTTGTGCGTTATATGTGGATTTTAGCCTAGTTTGGGATAGCCTAGTTTGGGATAGTATAGTCTGTTATATTGCTTATTTGGGCCAATCTTCTTCTTCCCATGCACATCACACGTTTGACAAAAAATTAGAATTAAAAGTTACATTGCATCTTAATGCTTGTGTAAACTTGCTGATTGATAACAGATTAATTTGAATTTTTTGCATTGATCAAAGTATCACCCTCTGAAACTATGTAAAGAATGATGAACATAAAAAAAGCTAACAAGTAGAATCATTTTCTTTTTCTTTGTATATGTTTAGTTGTTGCAATACAAACATCCATATACAATAAAGGCTTTGGCCTTATTTGACGCCTCGATACAGTTCCATTCCAATCTAGAGAACGCTGACAAATCAAATTACCTCTGTTTGGTACAATAGCGTCTCCGGAAGTTCTTCAAACGAAGCACCATCTTTTTTGCCATTTTCAAATCGCAACATCTCTATTGTGTCTGCCCATCGTACCACTCTGTTCTATTGTTTGCAGATAAATTTGTCTAAAATAGCCTTACACAAAGTTCTATTTGCAGATAAATTTGTCTAAAATAGCCTTACACAATTTCCATTCTCTGTGGTAATCTCATTGTTGTCACCGATCTACCTCCGTAGCTCAAGCTTCGGCAACATAATTGTTGATCGTTGGACTGACCTCCCCTTTCATCTCGATGACTCTGATGACTCTGTCTATGATCGTTCTCTCTATGACTCTGTCAGCCACGACCGCCCCCCCAACAACTTGAGGAAAATATCAAAACTTCAAAACCAAACCAGGTAAAGTTGGAGGAAACAAAAATATTAGAGCTTCAAAACCAAACTAACACTATAACATATTAGGAGATCTGGGTTTCGTCAATGACCATCAATATTTATTGTAGAGCAACAGAGGCTAAGGATTGGGGTAGGGAAGGCGAGGAGGCAGAGAGGGATTGACGAGCTTGACAAAAATAGGGATAAAGATCTTGAAGGAGAAACTGGGTGATTAGGGCTTTGTGGTTGGAGGAAGGGGCAGATACAAATAGGGATTTCTTCATTGTTGTTGGGAGGAAAATGAAGGAGCCGTTGACGGCAAGTGGGTCACGTCTGAATTGCTCAAAATGAAGGCATCAATGACGAGGCTTGTGGTGGATGTGAATGTGAGGATTGAGGAGGAGATGATGCATTAGATGATGAGAAGGATTTGAGTGGGGATTTTTGAGATGGTGGGGAGGCTGCAGCACATATGATAACAAACGAGGGATATTTTAATCTTTTGTGTTTGGAAAGTTACGATTAATAACGTATAAAAAATTTCTATTCAAATGGGTTATCACTTTTAATAGTTGGAACTTTATATCACTGTTTATGGTGAAGCAGCTTTTAAAAGGACCTTTTTTGAAAAATAAAGTTCTCTCAAACGAAGCCTTAACTAAGTATTTTACAAAGAAGGATCCTTGCAACAATCTTGAAGCTTGAAGTTGGTGTATTGAGTTCTTTATTATTCCCATATAAGACAATAATTGAAACGAACAAGAATGGCTAAGAGAGATAGTGGTTTTCTTGGCACTGAATTTATTTGATATTCCTTTTATATGATCTTTAATCACGATGAAAAAGTGTCCAAGCTAAATTTCGTGGATCATTCATTGAGAATGATTATGATTTCTCTCATACATTTAATACGCAAACTGATAGTTGAATCTGCTTCACAACTAATTTTGTCTAAAGCTTTTCTACTGATACCTTGTACTCTTTATTTAGGCTTGCGGCTCCAAATCCTAAGACATATATTGGATCTGGAAAGGTTGCTGAAATCAAGAGTGCAGTTCATGCCCTTGATGTTGAAACAGTGATTTTTGATGATGAATTGTCTGCTGGGTAGGCATCTATCTACACCTACTTTGTTTATATTACCATGCAATTATCATAGCTCTTTTTGGTTTTGGTGTATTATACAATGATACATAAAGAGGCCTTGCTTCTTATACAAAATTTCTAGAATTACTAAAGTTTGCTCCAGTGCTATATATACGTGAAGCTCACATTAATGTTCTTCTTTCTCTTTAGTAGCAGATTCCTCCGGGCTGTGAAAATCAACTACCATTGCCATATTTTTGCCTTTCAAATTGAAGAGCACGAAAATTGTAAATTGATGAGACTTTTACAAATTTTCTACTTGACTGCACTCGTCATTCTCTTTCTTAGTTGAACAGGCTAGTTTAAGGCATGATGGTTAATCTCCATCATCACCTCCCGCTTCCTGGAAATGATTTTATCTTGGCCCAACAAGTCTTGACTGACTTATGAATTTTATGTTATATGGTGCTTTCAGAATGAACATAGTTTCAATTTGAACAAATACAATGCATAATTGACATGTTGTGGATGGTAGTTTTATCTTCTATTGAATAAAAAACATGAGCTTCTGGGATTGAAAACAAATAGTGATAGCTTGGTAGTTGTTCATGTAAAGCATAATTCTATCCTAACTAAATAGTTCATTCATGTATCGTGTTAAATTATGGTTTTCCATGAGTTGCCCGATTGCTAATGAAATAAAGATATCCCAGCCACATGTATAAATTGACAATTTATTTTGCAGTTGTACTGATTTATTATGTAGAAACAATCACACATGCATCCACATGTGCATGGTCTTTTCAACCTCTTTTGATATGATCCAAGCTGCTTGAATATTGGCTGAAAAACAAATTTGATCCTAAATCAACCTCTTGTTTATGAACTTGCAGTCTTAATTATATCTAGGTTCTGACTGATACATGATCTTACCTATGAGCAATTTATGTTTGCTTTTCCCATTCAAGCCTTGAACTTAAATTGTGATGAGGCGCACTGCTGATCTCTTATGCAAACTGCAACATCTGCAATTCATTTTATGATAAGCGTCTGATTATTCTCCATTTTGCATACTTATCTTCAGCTAGAAAATTCCCATCTTTTAAATATATAGGATTCTAGCTCCAATATAAACCTAAATTTAATGCTTTTCCACTTTCAGAAGAATGAAAAGTTGGCCCTCAATTTTCTTCTCTTTGCTTGCTAAATTTGGAGTCTTAAAAGTTGAACATTCTTCAAAGCACCGTGGATATAATGAAATTTTCTTTCCATTATGTGCGTCTTTCCAGCTACTTCAACTTGTTTTGATCGAACTAATGCCCATGACTTTGACCTGCATCTAAACTTTTGTGCCTAAATCTGCTCGAATGCTTCTTTACCAGTTTGATGTTTGGAACAATAAAATTGGTTAGACATTCCCCGCACTCTAGTCTCCCTACTTTGAGATGAATACTCATGATTCACGCCTCAAAATTGAATCATTCTTGAGATCCTCTCAAACAGAAATAATCTGTAGGTAAAACTATATTACAGTATATTGTCAGATGTTTATTCATTTAATTGATGGAGATTTTTTCAAATGGTGCTGGTATTTTATTTGTTGTCATTGTGCTTCTATTAGTGCACAATGAAATGGTGCTATGCATCAGGATGGAATATTTTGTTGCTCATCAGACATTTTATTTAAGGATTTCAAGCTGAATCATACTTTCTGGGATCTATTCGTAGGAGTGATTGGAAGGTTTTGACATATTTTAAGTACTATCAATTTTTCTGTGGGGTAACAGTTTTAATTATATTATTACAGGCAATTGCGTAACTTGGAAAAGGCTTTTGGCGGAGAAACACGTGTTTGTGATAGGACTTCCCTCATTTTGGACATCTTTAGTCAGAGGGCTGCAACACACGAAGCAGCTTTACAGGCAGCTTTATTATTTCAATGATTTTGATCTTTGTTATACAACTTTTAAAATCTGAAATCTGGAGTTGATTGTACATGTCCATGCACAACTGCATTTAAATGGGGACGATTCATTTATCTCCTCACCATTACATATATATTTTTTTAGTGTCCATAATTTTTCATGGCCTTTTGGGATGTAATCAACATGCTTAGTACAATTCAGTCACAATGTACAATTTCATTATTCGTATTTCTTCCTTTCTAATACTAGTGTTACAATTACTTCGGAAAGTTCCATGTTACATTTATTATTGTTTAGTTTGCTAATTTAGTGATTTAAGATCATTTGATGTTACCATTGTAAGATCTCAAGATTTTTAAGTTTGGTGAATTAGAAAATTTAAATATTGAGGTGCCTTTTGTTGTTATTGATGCTGTTTTGTTAGGAATTCCACGGTTAAACAATCTCATATTGGAACACTCTTACAATGAGTGAATTTGAGAAGTGGCACCAATAGGATAAACCTATGGGGCCTAATAGACCAAAGCAAACAACATCTTGGTGATGAGATTTTGGGCAATGATAAATATTATCTGATTAATATGCCAATTAGAAGATGCAAACCAAGTGCCACATCTTGGTAGCCACCATTTAAACCCATTTAAGATGTCATAAGCGGAAGCCACCTCTCAATTTATAGCGACAATGACACAGTCGTCTGGGGCGCGGGGTGTGGGCGCCTAGGGCGCACTTGGACTGGTTCGGTCCAAGCCAGACCTCTAATGCGTGGAATTGCAGCCCAATTGGAGTGGGACCCACTCCTAATTACCTAGGACTATTTATTTATTTTCGTTGGTGTCTAGGGTTAGTTTCTTGCTGTGGTCTGTATCAGGACAGTCATTGGCATCTTCTTCTCCTTCTCCATTCTAGGGTTTTATCCAAGGGGTTTCGAATGGTGGTCCGACTTTTTTTCGGTCTTGAGGTGTTGTGTTTCCTCTCCTACCTTTCCCTCGATCTCTTCTACATTGTTCCCCTTCACCCTCATCACAGCCTCTCATCACCGCACCAGGAAAACAACCAAATTGCTATTTTTCCTCAGCCCCGCTGCCTTCCACCTAGTCCACACCTTTCAGCTTGCTGCCACCTGCCGCAACCACCCTTCCATCGCTCTCTTTGCTGCTCACCGCCTTGCCGTTGCTGCCTCCAGCTTCCCGTTACTGCCGCCCCTTTCAACGCCCCATTGCCACCACCTCGGAGGCCCAAACCTTTAGACGACCCCATCTTCACCCTAGATCCATCCTAGTTCTAGTGTTGTGTGTTGTTTTGTTGTAATTTCAGATTTCCGCATTGTTTTGTTGTAATTTCTAATTTAATTTCAGTAATAATATCTCTTTTTATTGAATGTTTGCTAAATTTCAATATCATTTTGTATCAGAGCCAGCCTAATCCTAGTTCCATTCTAGGGTTACCAAAATCCATTAATACCTAACCAAATAGAAAATCTTCCCCACCCTAAATCGACCCCCCCATAGACAAGGTCGGAAAGCTTTTTAGGAACTTATCATGGAAGAGATGCAATAGGAAATCCGACGACTTCAACAAAGGCCTGCTAAAATTGAGAGAGGGACCCATGGAGAGATCATCTTAGATCGTGTTAGCGAGATTCGAAGAGGAGCGAGTAAGAAAAATCTGAACCCCTTCCATAGGGACGATTCCAGTGAAGAAGAGGATAAGTCATGACACTTTGAGATTCAGTATCAACGGAGGCTGAGGGATGAGGTGACTTTTGTAGGACATGAAGACATAGGAGTAAAAGTATACTTGCTAGATTTCGATGGGAGAATGAATTCTGATGATTTTATTATGGTTTTAGATTGTTGAGAGGATATTTGAGTATAAGGAGGTGTCAACTGATAGGAGTGTGAAGCTTGTTGCTATAAAACTGAAGAAGAGTGCCTCTTTGTGATGGGATAATTTGAAGAGAGTGAGGCAGAGAGAAAGTAGGAATAAGATCACTACTTGGAGAAGATGAAGGAGATGCAAAGGAATTATGTATCCCTCACACTATTGTCAGGACATATTCTTGAAGCTCCACCACCTACAACAAAGAGAGTTTTTAATGGAGGAGTTCACAACAAAATTTGAGCAGCTAATGATGAAATGTGAGCTGAAAGAGCCAGAGGAACAAATTATAGCCAGTTATTTGGGAGGTATTAAGCTAACCATCAACAATATTGTCCAATTACAACCTTATTGGTCATTGGGTGATGTTCAAACACTGGTACTGAAGGTGGAGAGAGCATAAACAAAGCATACACCCACCTCCATTTAGACCACCAGCTACAAGTGGAGATATTAGCATGAGCACTTTTGGTGGATGTGTGAAAACTGATCAGGGGAATGACAAAGCTAATCAAAGCGGGAAAAAGCTTTAGAAGAGTGGCACACCCAACATAAGTCTAGCCAGGAAGTGCTTCAAGTGTCATGGATATGGACACATCACTTCCATTTGCCCTACTAGTAAAGTTGTTTCCTTTACCGAGCAGGGTGCAGTGGAGGAAGTGAGGGAGGGTGTAGTAGAAGAGCAGGGTGAGGAGTATATGCTCCATGGAGATGATGGTGAGATGTTGTTTGTGAGGAGGGCTTTGCAGGCGTAACTAACAAAGGATCACTATTGTTTGAGACATGACATCTATCACACCAGGTGTATTGTGAGTAGGAAAGTATGCGGCCTTATTATTGGCATAAGGAGTTGAGAGAATGTGATCTACTTTTATGGTGAACAAGTTGGATTTGGCTACTCAGAAGCATTCATAACCCTATTCTCTGACCTGATTGAAGAAAATGAATGAGATACACGTGGCTAAACAATATTTGGTAGAGCTCTTTATTGGAGACTAACTATAGGATCAGGTGTGGTGTAGTGTTGTGCTCATCTTGCCTGTCACATTATGCTGGGGAGACTGTGACAATTCATTCGCAGGAATTAACATGATGGGTTCCAGAACACCTACTCCTTCACGAAGGAGGTGAGACACATAATTGTTTTACCCATCAGGGATTCTGAGGAGCTGTCACTCACGTTGTAGAGATCATGATCCCACATTCCACCTTTCTACAGTCGGCTCGGGAGGCCCTAGTGGCAATGACCTTAGTCATCCTAGAGGGGTTTAAGGAGGGGACTAAAGCTAATAGAGATGATACAACTTTTGCTAGCCCACTTTTAGGATGTGATGACTGATATAAGCTTACCCGAGGGACTATCACCACTTAGAGACATTCTATATGCTATAGACTTGTCTGCTTGCAAATTGAGACCAGCTGAGTATGAGGAGTTGCAACAGTAGGTGCATGATCTTGTTGTTAGATGGTTGGGAAGGGAGGGCACCAGTCTATGTGATGTTCATACTTCGATGGTTTCTAAGAAGGATGGTTCATAGAGGATGTTTTTTGAAAGTCAAGCTATCAATAAGATCACCATTAATACATATTTCCTATACCTCGCCGAGATAATTTACTGGGTGAGTTGCATGGAGCTATCATCTTTTTCAAGATTGACATGTGCAGTAGATATTATCACAGATCAGGATGAGACCAGGAGGGAAATGGAAGACTGCTTAAAAGGCTAAAGATATTTTGCATGAGTGGACAGTCATGCCCTTTGGAATGTACAATGCACCAACACTTTTACGAGGCTGATGAATCATGTGTTTGAGGTTGTGTACTTTGATGACATATCAGTCTACAACAGATATGTGGAGGAACACTTGTAACATTAGAGGAGGGTCTTTGGGATTCTTCGGTCGAAGAAGCTTCATGGCAGCATATGTACGTCTTTTGAGTTATATTGTATCTGGTACAGACATTCAGGTGGATTCTATGAAAATAGAGGCTATTGTGAGTTGGCCACCACCATAGTCCTATAAAGCTGAGATAGTTTTTAGGGTTGGTATCCTTTTATAGGAGATTCACGAGGAGCTTTAAGACCATGACAACTCCTATGATAAAGCTCTTGAAAGGAGAGAAATTTCGGTGGATAGAGCTAACTTAGTTCAACTTTGATGTTTTGAAGAAGAAGGCGACTCAACCCCATTGTTAGCTCTACCATATTAAATCAGTTGTTTGAGGTGGAATGTGACACATCTAATGTGGGGATTACAACAATATTGAGCCAGGAGAGCACCCATAGCCTTATTCAGTGAGAAGTTGAGTGACTCTAGGAGGAAGTATTCGACATATTATAAGGATTTCTAAACTATTGCGAGAGCTCTTAATCTTTGGAGTCACTACTTATTGACTAACAAGTTTATTATATTCAAAGATCATGAGGCTCTGAGGTTTTGAATAGTCGAGCAAGCTGATGGACAAACATGCTCCATTGGTTGAGTTCTTGGCTTCATTTCAGTTTGTTCTCGAGCACAAGGCTGGGAGTTGGAATCAAGTAGTTGATGTTTTGAGCCATCGCCACTTATAGATCACCTCCATTGAATCCAAAGTTGTGGGATTTGAGGCGATGAAGGAGCTATAAGAGACAGATGAGAACTTCGGGGAGTTTAGGGATCAATGTCAGGAGAGGCCAACAAGACAGTACCATTGATTTGAGGGCTATCCGTTCCATCAAAAGAGGTTGTGTTCTTAGATGTTCATTGAGAGAATCCATCATATAATAGAGTCACAATGGGGGATTAGCAAGTCATTTTGGCAGAGACAAGACCCTCGCACTCATTAGAGAATACTTTTTCTAACCTAGATTGATGGGGGTGTAGAGAGGTATGTCAGGCAGTGTAGAGTTTGTCATGTGATAAAAACCAAGGAGCGGAATACAAGACTATACACGCTATTACCAGTACCAGAGGCTCCATGATTGGATGTTTGTATTGATTTTGTTGCGAGTCTTCTTAGGACATAGCTGAATAGGGTTTTGATGATGATAATAGTTGACAAGTTTTCTAAGATGACTCATTTTGTATCTTGCCACAGAATATTGGATGCATCACATATAGTGATGTAGTCGACTT